AAACAACAGCAGTGCCTTGATATGTCCTTTCTGCCAATGGCTCAAAGCAGTAGGTTGAAGAACCTGAATAGAAATATGTTGATAAAAATGAACAGCAACGTTCTAAAAAGTCTTCCCCTTCTGTGTATAGGGAAAATAAAACAAAACCAATGGTTGGTGTAACTGAAGAATGTAATAACACTACCTCTCTCTCCTTGTTTTAGGGAATGCTGTCGGTTTTTTGGAGACAATGGCTTGACTTTGAAGGTGTTTTTTACCAAGGCAGCACCCTTTGGTGTTCTTTGGACACTCACAAACTACCTATACTTACATGCAATAAAGAAAATAAACACTACGGATGTCTCCGTGTTGTTCTGCTGCAACAAAGCTTTTGTGTTCTTGCTTTCATGGATCGTGCTCAGGGACAGGTTCATGGGAGTGAGGGTAAGTCTCTTATTCTCTCTCTTCCTCTCTCACTCAGTTATTTTAGCCAACATATGCCCTTTGGCTTGCTTTGCTCCATGTGCTGGGCCATAAGCATAAGCTACTCACCACTTTCCTTCTGATTTGCCACAGAGCAAGAGCCACCGTTCTTGGTGTGCCTTACAACAGTTCTTGGTGTGCCCTGCAAACCTTCTTGCTTGCAAACCATCCTGGACAAGCCTTCATTGAAGCACCTTTTATTTGAAGCAATTCCACCAGCTTTCCCAGCCCGGCAGTAAACGATCAGTTCCCTTTGTGTGCTCACTCCCCCTTTCATGGTAGCTTCCAGTCTACAGCTCAGGGTGTGACTGTGACTCCATCTCCTGCTGTCTTCGAACCCTGGCCACCTGTTCTGCCAGACTTCTGCCTGGATTGGGGGCTCCCTGCAGCCAAGGTCCTTCCGCATCCATGTGCATTCATTCTTTGGAGTGCTCGTTCTGGACTATGTGTGCAAACCCCAAGTGGACCAGACATATTTGCATGAAATTCAAATGGTGGAGGGACACGTGTGTTTCGTTCATGCCACTGACGAAGGGTAGAGAGAGATTCTATCCCATAAAGGACCTTTCCTTGTGACAACAAATTATGCAGAAGCCATTAAAATTTAGCTAGTTCAATTTTGAAGCAGTGTTATAAAATAGGATAAATCAAATATTGTATATGCACGGAAACGGAGAGGGCTCTTCCTTGAACAGGAAGAACTGGTGAGGTTTAGCTGCCAGAACCATGTGCCTTTCGCATGGCTCCCTCTGGAAGCCTGGCTCTGTTACTGCCACGCTATCACCTGTCACTAGAGAGATGCCTCCTTGCTGTTGTGTTCTTGTTTTATAGTTGGATAGATCACTTACTGTGTCCTCCACTCTTGGATTACACTAGCCATGTAGGAACTAAGAAACCAGCCATTCTGGCAACCAGTAATGGACAAACTCCAGGCCCAGTGCTTCTGTTCTTTTGTATTGTCCTATGAATAATAACATCATCCTAATTGTGGATTCATGCCCACCTATTGACTTACAGCAGTGAGGACAGGAGTAGTATTTTTACTTTGTAATAGGGAGAACTTTGTATTAAGGCTGAGTGTTCATTTTGAAATAAAAGGCCATTTATTGTGCTACCTCTCGGGAATGCTTTCTGCAAATAAATAATCTACATCTCTGCAAGAAATGCAGACACTTTAAGGCCCAGGGGTCCTCAAACTATTGCCCACATGCGGCCCACTGAGGACAGTTTTCTGGCCCGCCAGGTGTTTTTGCCCCATTTGTTTTTTAACTTCAAAATAAGGTATGTGCAGTGTGCATAGGAATTTGTTCATAGTTTTTTTTTTAAACCTGTAGCCCTGCCCTCCAATGGGTCTGAGGGACAGTGAACTGGCCCCCTGTTAAAAATGTTTGAGGACCCCTGCAGCAATGGCCTACCTAACTTCCTGCCTGACTCTATGAGAAGACCCCATGAACCTAGGGTTTAGGCCACATTTTTAGGGATTTTTCTGTGAAAAGAACCAAGAGAACTAGTGAATTTGGGGCATGATTCTGATACTGAACGTAGTACCCCAAGCAACTTACAAATGAGGCCTAGTTACGGTGAAGAGAAATTTTAGCATTAATACTACAACTAAGTAGAAGAAAACAGAAATTTGTTGATGGTAAGAGAAGGAGATACAAAACCCTTGAAATATTCCTAGAATCGTAAAGAACAATAAAGGTCTTCCAGATCACTTACGTGGTGGTATAAATGGACAGGAGAGGTTTTACCCCACCCCACCCCACCATCCCACCTGCTAGTGACCCTGAACTATGACAAAGTCTAGCCATGCTAACCACATGTCCAGTTTGATCTTTGCCGACCACTGCACACTGAAGAGCTTTGTGTTGAAAGCCTTCAGTATGAGGCCAGCTCTGGGATGATGATACAAGGTTTGTGACAGAATGGTGTCATCTGCAATACACGGTGCAGGTTACTAATCACTGTTACTCCTCAGAGATGTCTGTGGCCGTATTCTAAGAGATTCTGACCATGAAAGTTGGTAAGTTCCACAGTCTTTCCAAAAGTTCACAGAAATGACAAAATATATGAGACTGACCGCTTGCCAAAGTGATGAGAAGTTTCTTCTTGGTCAACAGAAATTGAGTTATAAGATAATGTGTCACGGGTACAGAAAGGAGTTCTCAGGTCTCTCTCAAACTGCTAGGTTATCTCCAACCTCCACTGAGTACTTTCCTAAGATGGAAGGGAATTCACACTGTGCCCCTTCCTGGAGGGCTGAGCATGCGAGCTTTGGGGCAGGACAGCTATCAGGAGCATGGCAGAGCCTAAGCATGATGTCACAGATTCCGTGGAATACTTGGCTTCCTAAGACTCAAAGTCCAAGGGCAGAGGATCCTGAAACAACATCAGCAGGTCCAGTTGGTGCTAGAAAGATCCAGAAATAAGCAGATCTTATAAGGGTTGGGCGATCTCAGCCGATGGCATCTGTGTTACGCTGTGTTGACTAGAGAAATTAATTTAGTGGCACTCATATATGTGTAAGAAAAAGCTTTCTATTAAGCAGTAATGGTGCATCAATAAACCATCCCAGCCCTGTCCAGATCGAGCCCGTACATCAGACACTAGCCCATAAGTCCGATACTAGTCCACAAATCCCTTTACAGACTCACAAAGCCACATGCAATGGTGCAGAATTCAGGAAAATCACTGGCCTGGGGCGCAAAGTCCCATGGATCCAAGGGTGGTGGATGATTGGCAGGAAGATGAAGGCAGATAGATGTGAGGGGGCATGATCCCAGGACCCTCCTTATGAGAAGGCCACACTCACCAGGAGGCATCATCAGGGTGTGACCTGATTGGAAGTCTAGACCCCACCCCGACACCCTATTTATCAAGTTGATATGCAATCATGTAACTACCACCCCATCAGAGGGTGAGAAGCGGCAGATTGTCTGTGTGAAGGCAACCCATCCTGCAATTGTGACTTGGACACTGCTTTCTGTGCCTTCCCTATTTGGTTAGCTCCCCAGAACCCAGGGTTTGAAGGCCGAGATGGATGTTCTACTCCAGGGTGATGGTGACCATGGTTTGCATCTTGGCTTCACTTTCTGGACTCGGATCCACTGCTGTCTCATAATTAAAATGGACAGAATGCTAGTCGTACTCACCTCTCAGAAGTGTGGTGGCCAAAGAAGATGAGGTGTGCCCGGCACATACCTTTAAACAACCGCTACCTTCTTTCTGTGTTGATTTTATGCTTATTCTTTCTCGGTAGAGGGGTTGAGGGTTAGTCCCAGTTATTTTGTTGAGTGTGCCCTACTCTAAGAAAGACTAAGAGGCAGTTTCAAGTAGTACAAGCACTGGTGGAATGAGGGCACCCCAACCTTGCCTCTGGGATATCGCTCACCAGCTGTGGACAGGGCTGGGTCAGGTGAAGGTTGACTGAATGAAGCCACCCAGCCTACAAATCTAGGTGGGTCCCAGAATTCCAATAGTACATTTTGGGGAGAAGAGATGCATTGTGTTAGTCTGGGTACATTAGAGAAACAAATCCACAGAAACTCATGCATAAGAGAGAGTTTTATATAAAAGTTAAGTGAGCATCAAGAAAACATTGGGCCCAAGCCCATAAGTCCAACATTAACCCATTAACCCATATGTCCAACACCCATCCACAAAGTCCCCCTCCATCTTACAGAACACACACTGTGATGCCGACTGCAGGAGGAAAGCCAAATCAGTGAATGTGTAAGCATCTCAGCGCTGGCAAGGGTCTCCACACAGGTGCTCCAGCACCCAGGGCTACATCGGGGTAGGTCCATGTGGCTTCTCCTCAGGGATGTCTTGCAGGAAGTGAGCCTTGCTAGCTGAAGCAGGGAACTGGCTAAGGCAGCTGCACCCTGGTGTGACCATCACAAAGCAGGAGACCTGAGAACTCAAAAGGCAAGGCTTACCGAGCCATTTATCTCTTTGTCCTTCAATTAACCAACCCACATGTGTTTATCAGCCAGGTTGGCACAATTAACTAACTACCTCTTGCATGTTCCACTGTCTGTTCCCATCTCATCCAGTTGATGTTCCTAATAAATGCAGCTTTTTAAAAAAGTGTTGCAGAAGGGGAAACCCCTGAGCTAAAACTCCCCTGTTTTCATGCAGGCTGTGTACATTTACCTAGTTCTGAGCACACTCGTAGCCCAGACCCCACACTTCTCTGGAATCAGAAGGGGGCACAGATGATCTCTACATTCTGTCCCCACTCTCTGAGTTCAGACATTGAGAGGGACAGTGTTGGGATGAAGTACGTAGAAAAGTTCGCCTGATCTCCCTTTTCAAATTGCTCAAACTAGAAATCTGAAATGCGCCATGATGATGTTCTCCTTGGCAAAGGGCAAACAGCCATCACCTTTTTAGCATAAGTAGGAAGAAGCTCAAGTCCAAGAAGTGAATTTGATGCTGCACCCAGCCCATGTTTGTTTCAGAGTGCCTGTTGACTCCCTTTCCTATCTCACTAGGGACAGTGTCATTATAGGAGATAAATGGTCTCCCTGAGCCTTTAGAGGTAGGCAGGTGGTGGCAGTGGGCACCAAGCTAGGGGACAGCCCCAAGGAGAGACTCAATGACAGCATTCTGAACTCTGCTTTCACTAGGCTGACGACTGCCACACCTCCAAATCATACTCCTTCAGAGGAAAAGGAGCTCACCCATCTCAGTCTCGGGGCTCTTGCTTCCCAGAAGTCTGGACCCCTGTCTCCGGAAAGTTTATTCTGCAGCAGTCTAGGAGAGTACATTAAGGGTGGGGGCAGAAAGGGTGAGCAAAAAGCAAGGGAACACGGAGATCAGAAACATTCCCTTGCCTTCATTCATACTCAGACGAGGCATCTCCCAGGGACACCAGCCATATAAAGTGGTGTGGCAGAGGGGCCGAACGGGATCCATCATCTGGGAGAGGGTACGTTATAAGAAGCAGTTAGGGGAAATATTCTCCAGCCAAAGCAGACAAACCCAGGAACCTTATGGTATAAAATGTAGAACATATACCTATTTTTTAAAGATAGAACTTGAATCTCCAAAGGAGTTTTGAGTGTGAGGAAGGACTTTAGGGCTATGCCCCCAACTGTCAAATAGCCGTCAACCATGCTGGGCTATCAGATGATGTTTTCTATCAGGTGAGCATTTCCAGGGAAAGGTGAGATCCACTTGCCGGCTAAGAAGTGCTGAAGGGATAAGGGTGGCTGAACCAGTAGCACTGTGGTCATGTCGTTTTGGATGATCCTGTGACTCTTGACTGGCACTCCCTAAGAAGAGGAGACCCAGCAGTGTGTCTACAGGGCATTGATGTTGTACCTTGCCTCCTTCTCAGAACCAGTCCCTGGGCCTGCGCTTTTCAATTTTCTCCCTCTCAAGCTGCCCAGAAAGGTGGTCATCTAAGCTCTTTCTGTTCTGGCATCTTCTAGCCCCTTCACTCAACACTGTAGCACAGCTGAGGCTGAAATTGTAGCTGGTTAATGTTTAATTAATGGAAAAGAGAGAGAGAGGAGGTACTGGGAAATCGGCCATAAGAAAATAGCCCCTGGCTCACCTTCTGTTCCTCACACTTCAGCACTGGGTTTAGAAGGACTCAAATGGAGATCCAGCGGTTCACCAACCCTTAGCTCTTTTGTTCCCTCCCTCCCTCCCTTTGTTTAATAATAATCTATCTCGATATCTTCTTCCTCAGCTGCCTCTCCGGCTAAGCTACTCCCAAGCAAGATCTTTGTCCTCTAGAGCAGAACCCGCCCCTTCTCCTTCCTAATTTTTCATTGGCCATTTCTTTCTTTCTTCTTGTGGGGAAACACATGTGAGCATTGTCCTGTTTCTGTATTATATCTGTTTCTTTCCCTTGGTTGTAAAGAATACGCATAGCATTTGGCACATGCATGATATGTGTGTGATGCAGAATGACACAGCTGACTGAAAGTGAATCACTGAAGCATAAAAAACAAGTGAACACCTTGGACTAGATGCCCATTACCTCTTTCTAGGGACTTTATGTCCTTACATGAAAATATGTCCTTGGATAAGCACTAGGTAGTGCCTGTAAGTCAAACATACTGTGGGAGGTTCAATCATGTTATTATTGACTCACCTAAAAAGTTCAACTGTCAATCACTGCGACTTCGACTCAGGTGTAAGCATATAGTTGACAGTAGCTTGTTAAGTTTTGCAATCAATAGACCTGAAATTTGTATCCCTGCTGTGCTACATACAAGGTGTGTGACCAGGGGCAGGTTAATTTCCTATTCTGTGATGGCATTTTCACAGCCAAAATTAAAGAAAATGATAATTCCCTATTTGGTCAATAAAATGAAGAAATAGGTAGAAAACACTTTAGCAGTGTCTACTCAGGAAATGTAAGCCATTTGATATTGTTATCCAGAGTGAAGTCTATTTTAAATGATCGGCAAGAGGAAGACAACTCTTAGTAAACCCAACAATGAAAACTTTGCACACACGTGGTCGGCCTTCCCTGTGTTCGGACAATACCTCCGAGACCCCACTTTTCAGATCAAGTGCCAATATCAAGTACATAGCTCCCCACCTACCCACTTCTCAGTTCTTATATTTTCTTTGCCAATGCATTTTCTCATTTGGGGAATGTGTCCTATGTAATTTACCTTCTGGTTTTTCCCACCATTTTATTAAGCTCAACAGGAAAGTGGTCCTTTCCACGGAGGCTCCTTCTCTCAGAGAAGCTGACTCTGGACAGTAGTGTATCCATCAGGTTTGGGCGAGGGATTCTGCAACAGCTGGGATTAGAACTGTGGCTCCTTTGCACCGTTAGGACATTGCCTGCCGTCCTGATTGGCAAGCATCACCCTGTTAGACTCCATTGCTGTCCTCGTTATGCCTTCTCAGTTGGGACATGAAATACCTGAAGTTAAGATTCTAAGAGATACTTTCCAAAGCTTGGGAAAGAACCAAGAGTTGATTCCCAGGTGCTAGGATTACCTACCAGACCAAGCCATCTGCTGTTGGAATGATGGCTCAACCTCTCCAAGGGTCCAAGAATCCCAGTAACTGGTCCTAGGGACTCTCTGATGCTAAGCCAAACTACTCCTCATTGCTCCTAACTCTTGGGTCATGCTGAATTTTGCTAAGTACCCCTCTAATCATTGGGAAACAATGAGACAAGGCAAATCTTTGCCCGTTGTTCTGTGAGGATGAAAAAGGAGGTACCATTTTCCCGCGAGAATGTTGAACTCCTATAACATTTTTAGCTGAACTTGGTGGCATAGTGGTTACACGTTGAGCTGCTAACCATGAGATTAGCAGTTCAAAACCAGCAGCCCCTCTACATGAGAAAGATGAGGGGTTTAGTACTCCCAGGCAGACTTGCAGTTTCAGAAACTCACAGGGCCAGTTCTATTGGGTCCTATGGGGTCACTAAGATTTTAAATCAATTCAACGGCAGTGAGTTGAGTGAGACAACATTTTTAGTTCATTGGCCCGGACACATCACCCGATTCCCCACTGCTGTACTGCCATTTTCTTCTTTCCACCCCAGATTGTGGCCGCCATCCTCGCCATTGCTGGTATTGTGATGATGACCTATGCGGATGGGTTCCACAGTCACTCGGTGATCGGCATAGCACTGGTGGTAGGATCAGCATCCATGTCTGCCCTCTATAAGGTGAGCATACCTGGGGCAAGCTCCCCGGGGCTTGGTCATTCTTGGGAAGAACAGCAGGTCGCAGCACGGCTGGTCCATGACTTTCAAAGAGCCTTTGATGGTGTCTTTGAGGAGGTCAACTAGGCAAGTGGAGACTTCCGCCAAAGGCAGTGACAATGATCCTGGCCTTGCTTCTGAGGACTGTCTCATCAGTGGCTATATGTTTGCAGCATGTAGGATAAATGGGTGGAGGGTATGATTAGCAGAAGCATATCAGTAACTAAACTGTTTGACTTTGGCCAGAAGAAGGATTGGTAAACGTAAACAGCTGTTTCAGCATTTGGTCAGATAATCTCTCAGAAGATTGAAGATGAAGACCTACACATCTGGCGCAGCTTTGTCATTAAATTCTTTAATTATACAGTATTTGGGACCATGTGTACTGGGCACAAATCCACATGCATGGCAAGCATTGCTTGTAGCCTAAGTAAGTAAAGCACAACTGCTACAGCATGGGATGTATCAAATATGTTGTTTTTCAAACATTGGGAAGAATTAAAAAGCACTTTCTAACTGCAGGTCTATTTGAAACAAATCGTTTTTCCACAAGCTGTTTCCTCCCTCTCTTACATGTCCTACTCCGGCTCAGCTCCCTTGAAGCCCTCTGCCTGCCCCTCTGGACGCTCCCTCACACGCCTCTTCTTTAAGAGAACGTCAGTATTTCTAGTCTTTAAATCTGGACTGGAGTCCCTGCCTCGTGCAAACAGTAAATGTGGTTGACTTAAATCCACCCAGAAGTCCTGCCGATCTACTTCCGCAAACCTCGCCATTGAGAACCCAACATAGCATAGCCGCTCTTACTCATGGGTCACCATGCGTCAACATGCAATGAGAGATGACATTTTAGCTCTGCGGCTTCTTAACCCTTTGTGGATCCAAACAGTAGAACAGAGAACAAATATAAGTGCTAGAAAAAGTTTCAAGAAAATTGTTTTTTAGATTTGTCAGCCATGTGTTTTATGGTTTTGCAAAATGTCTTCTTCATGTACACCCATTCCCCCTCATTGTTTACAGAGACCTACATCATCCTCTGCATTGAAACCCATCTCCCCAAGGGAATGCCCTGGTCTTGTAACATTCTACAACGCCGAGTCTCTGTCCAAATGAAAACTTGTTCAAGGGCCACGCAGGCACCGCTCTGCTATGCACTGATAAGAAGTAGAGATCAGGAAGAAATACACTTAACAATGAGCATAGCTGTTCTGCTTTAGACTTCTGTCTCCTCTCCCACTGCCTGATACAGAAGAACCAGTAGTTGAGAGACCGAAAGCTACTTACTTCCCTTTGCATGGCTCCCTGTATGCAAACTCACTGCCGTCGGTCAATGCGGATGTAGAGCAACCTAGACCTGGCAGGATACGCATGAAATTTGGGAAATGACTGAAAAGGGAAGCAGGTAACCTAGGAGATGCAGTAGTGCATAGCCTTCCTTGGACCACTGGATCCAGTCCCATGGGTCCCCTTCCTACAGGCCTCCCAGGAGCTCAGTCTAATACACACATGAGAACCTGTGCAAGAAGCAAAGCTTGGAGCATTTCCCTAAAACCCATACCATTTCTGGGATCAGAGTGGTGGGGTGGAGCAGAGATCGCTATGAGTGCTATATGAGTCATATAAATGTTTGTGGACCCAAAGTCCTTTTTCTTTGGGGGTAATGTTTTCCCAAGTGTGTTACTTCAGATCACGGATGAACTTTAGGGCTCCCTGAATGTACATGACTTCCTCATCTTCAGGAGTCCCTGGCTGGTGTAAAGAGTTAACATGCTCAACTCAAAATCTCACAGCCATTGAGTGGATTCTGACTCATCGTGACCCTGTAGGGCACAGTGGAACTGTCCTTGTGGGTCTCCCAGACTGTAACTCTTTATGGGAGTAGAAAATGCCATCTTCCTCCCATCGAGTGACTGGTGAATTAGAACTGCTGACCTTGTGATTATCAGCCCAACATAAAACCACTACACCACCAGGGCTCCTCGAGCATGCTCAGCTGCTAAACAGTAGGTTGACGGTTGGAATCTACCAAAGTTGCCTTGGAAGAAAAGTTTACTTCTAAAATATAAGCTACGGACAATTCCATGGAGCACACGTCCACTGTGACCCAGTGGGGTTGGCATGAGCCATAGTCAGCTTGCTGGCACCTGCTGTTTGCCATCATCTTCAGACTTGCTAAAGTTGGGGGATGAGGTCATGAATAGTGCACCCACAAGTCTATGAGAATTGCTGATTCTTATGTTGGCTCTAAATAAAGCCAGAAGGTAACTCTCCATCATGGTGTTACTAAGGTTTGAACACATGTTTAAGTGTCCAGAAGTGAAATGACTTTCGTCTTTTACGGAGAGCCTAGGAAGGTAATGTGGGTGTTGGTCTAGCAGTCAAAACCCGACTGTATCAAATACACTCTGCTTAGCTCTATAAAGTTGAAGTCTGGGGTACAGCTTCACCGGCCATCTGTTCTGTTTTCTCTTGCAGGTGTTATTTAAGCTTCTCCTTGGCAGTGCTAAATTTGGAGAAGCAGCCTTATTTTTGTCCATTCTGGGTGTGTTTAACATCCTTTTCATCACCTGTATTCCTGTCGTTCTCTACTTCACTAAAGTGGAATACTGGAGCTCTTTGGATGACATTCCATGGGGAAACCTTTGTGGATTTTCAGTTCTCTTATTGAGTAAGTGGCAGCCACCCCATTGGACTCCCCTCAAAGCAACGCTGACAGAGCAGAATC